AATATTTTACCAAATATTTACAACATTATTTTACTCTTCACACAGTAGTCTGTGAAGAGTATTATATGTTTACTTTTGTCCGTCTGTCTGTCCCTCCGATGTCACGTTTTTTATCCTCACGATAACTCAAAAACGAAACATGATATCTTCTTGAAATTTATAGAAAAAATCAAACTTTATAAGGGGACAAGGCCTATTGATTTTGAAAAAAATCGGAATAAAAATGAGGAGTTTAAGGGGGGGTTGAAACTTAAAAAAAAATATAAATCATTTAGGAAAAATGAAGTTCTATGAGAGGACGAGACCTAATAATTTTTTAAAAATCTGATTAAGAATAGGGGGTAAAACTTAAAAAAACCATAATTTAAAAACGAAATATGATATAAATTTGAAATTATCAGAAAAAACCAAGCTTTATAAGGGAACAAAGACTATTTTTATTTAAAATAAATCTGATTAAAAAGGGGGGCTTAAAACTTTAAACAAATCATAAATCAAAAACGAAACATGATATCAACTTGAAATTTTAAGGGAAAATCAAGTCCTATAAGGGGACAAAGTCTAGTGAATTAAAAAAAATTAATAAAAGTAGGGGTTTAAGCGGGGTTTAAATGTAAAAAAATCATAAATCTAAAACGAAACAATACCAACTTGAAATTTAAAAAAAAATCAAGCTCTGAGATGACGAAGTCTCTTGATTTTTAAATAGATCCGATTAAAAATGGGAAGATTAGTGGGGGGTTGAAACTTTAAAAAATCATAAATCAAAAACAAAACATGATATCAACTTTAAATTTTCAGGAAAAATCAAGTCCTATTAGAGGACGAAACCTATTAAATTTTTAAAAAATCTGAATAACAGTAGGGGGTTAAGTTGGGTTAAAATAAAAAAAAATCATTCATCTAAAAGAAGTATTATATCAACTTGAAATGTTTAATAAAAATCAAGCTCTATAAGGAGATGAAGCCTATTAATTACTAAAAGAAAAAAATCTAAATAAAAATTGGGAAGCCTATTTATTCCCCAAAAAAAAATGTGAAGAGTATAATATAGAATGCCAAGCATTATATATCCTCATTTTAAATTTAAAATTGCTTTATTGCTCTTTATTTTATGTATTCTATACATTTTTTGTCTCGATAAAAACATTTTTACTTTTATTCGCTGAAAAATGTTTTTTAAAATAAGAACAATAACATATACGAAACCAATAAACACACTTGTCACAAATAGGTAGTTACTAGTTAGTACTTTATAAATTTTAATAATATTTAACCATTTATTTGAAATTTTCTTTTTACATTTTTTTATTACTATTTCTTATGTATTTATTTAAATTGTTGTTTCAATAAAAACATTTTACACATATTTAATAAAAAATATCTTTTAAAATAATAATATTTTTACGATTCCAATAAACACATTTTTCCTAAATAGTTATTAAATTTTAAGGATATTGTAAAAAAAAATTTCAATCAATAAATTACAGCTAGTAAAATTCTAATCACTAATTAACACACAGTCTATTTCCAGTCAACCAGTGACCAGTTAAAATTAAACTATTTTGTGAATTATCTTTTTTGTCATTTAGATTTAAAAATCTCCCAAAATTATTAGTTTTAGGTATAGAGAATGCTTAACTCAAATTAAACTTTAAGAAACGTTCTTTTAAATGGTGATATAAAATACAATTAAAGAAAATGGGAAAATGATGTATTTCCGTACTGATGTACCCTATAAAGATTTGTTTAAAATTAAAAAAGTAGTACATCGGTAAACATTTTTGAATAATAATGAAAACCATTTACTCCAAAAAAATGGGTTTCAAATGTTTCTTTTGCACTATACACGTCTTTAAAATCAGTACGGAAAACTTTGATATTGTATTACTTTTTTAGAGAACCTTGTATAATTGGAAAGTATATGTTGCTTCTTTGATTTTTTGAAAAACCATTTAAATTCATGATAAAGTTTTAATCTCAAATTTAACATGCTTTTTTAATAGAATGAAATAAAAAAAAACATTTTTTAAATAACACACGAGAATAAAGTTTGGCCTTATGAACAGTTTTCAATATTATAATAATTATTGCCAGAAATAATCCATTGGTAAATTTGTATACGCGAATGAATTTAAAGGGCGAAGAGACCAATTTGTTTTTAGATCATTCGATATGCCTAAAATGTTTTTAAAAAGAGATTCTAATTCTTTGAACCGCTCTCAAATAGGTAATAATAAATCATTTCGTTGTAAAGGATTCCATTGTAAATAATAAGCTCTGAAATCAAGTGTTGAGCCAGTCAAGCATATGTTACTTATTTAGCATTGTATTTAAAAATTTAACCAACTATTAAAACTTTAGAAAATAATTTTTTTGTAACATTATAAAAAATGTTAAGTTTCATAAATAAAAATGTCTATTGTATGTGACACATGCACTACATAGGTTTTGGAATGGCTAATATACGAGTTATTTGATCATAAAATAAAATAAAAAGGAAACAAATCTCTTGCAAAATCCAAAGTTTGAATGTTGTCTAATATTTCTCTAATTTTTACAGTAATTTTGACTATTAAAGCTAAAAGTAGAGCAAATATATTACTGAAATGAGGATAAAAATCATAATTACAAATATTTAAAAATAAATGTAGGGACAGTTTGAGAAGTGGTTGGTTTAAATACAAGCTGTAAGACAATTTTTACCCTATGTACATCATATTTTTTATTTTACTTTATGGAGTACCTATCTTAAATATTAATTATAAATGTTATACTGCGTTAGTGACAAACAGTTGGTCAAATAAAAAATAATCAAATTTTTTTATTCTACTACAATGCGTGTTGATTTTCAAGAAAAAAAAATTCTTAAGTTTTATTTGTTTCCTATCTGTGTACATACAGACAAGGAAAGTATAGTAATCATGATTTTTTTCGACCTCAAGTTTTTGACGGATTTTTACGTTTCGAGGGCTCTTGAATCCGTTTTAAACTTAAGCTTTAATCCACCCTTCGGTGAACTGATTATATTTTGGGCCTAGTCGGAACATCTGGGGGTACTGTATGGGGGATCTTTTTATACTTTATGGAATACATCTGTTATTTTTGCTTAGAGAAGAAACTTCTTTAAATAAAAGTTTTTCTCTAGAATTTTCTCTAGAATTTTTGCTCCATATATAATTTTCCTAAAATGGAGCGTATTCGAGAAATTTGAGGAAAAGTAAAAATTTAGAATTTTCAACATTTTGAACTCAAAAACGGATTAAAAAAAAGCAACAAATTATAAATTTAAGCTTCAATCTACCATGCGATAAGCTGCTTAGATTTTGGGCATAGTTGGAACATCAGGGGGTTACTTTATGAGAGAGTAATTTTCTACTTTATTGAATATATCTGTTATTTACGCTTGGAGAAAAACTTCCTTGATTCAAATTTTTTGGCAAAATTATTTTTTCTTCTATACATAATTTTCGTAAAATGACCCGTATTTGAGAAATTTGAGGATAAGTGAAAATTTTGAATTTTGAACATAACTCAAAAGCGGATAAAGAGAAAAACACTAAATTTTAAACAAGCTTTAATCTATTATGTGGTAACCTGATTAGATTTTGGACATAGTCAGAACATCTGGGGCTACTTTATACAAGGGCATTTTTCTACTCTATTAAATGTATCTGTTATTTATACTTGGAGAAGAAACTTCCTTAAATAAAAGTTGTTTGCAAAATTATTCTCTATATGTTTTCTTTTATACATAACTTTTCTAAAATTGTCCGTATTTAAGAAATTTGAGGATAAGTGACAATTTTAAATTTTAATTAAACATAACTCTTCGCTTCGGCTATGAAACATCAGCCACGGCATAAAATCTTGTGCTTTTATGTATAATTAAACAACTATTTTTTCCAAGTTTTAATAGAAAATAGTAACATTATAAAACTAAAAATCCATTAATATTACATGTTTAACCCAAATTTATATTAACTCCAATTTAAGTTTAAAGTAAAATTTTAGAAAAAAAAAATACCCTATTACAGTTTTTCTTTGATTGATTTTGTTTACTAAGGAGAACGTCATTTTTGGACTGTTTTTTGTCTTTTTAGGAGTCATAAGAAATACACAAGTTCTATATAGAACATTTTTTGCACTCTTTTGGTTTTGAAAATGTACAAATTCTCGAAAATAAATCAAATAAAACAAAAGAACTATCCCTGAAATGATACATATTAAAAAAATATTAAAACAGACATAAAATATTTATCTAACGTTTATTTTAATTCTAACTAATTGTAAGCTTTTTAATTTTATTCTATATTTTAACGCCACTGATATTTTTTAAATTTGTAAACACTCATGTTTTTGTTTTCCTACTGTATATATCTTGTTAAATCTAATTATATTATTTCGAATACACCTCCACACGCTGTAAAACAAAAGATGGGGCTTTAACTGTTTTAAAAAATTACATGTGTTTTAGTTCCTCATGTTTTTAAAAATAATTTACTGAACCAGAAGATAAAGAATATGTTATCCAAAATATATATGTCGCACAAAAAATTAAAAATTAAATAAAAATTTATGACCAAATAAACCAAGACACTTTATTTATTTAAAGTAAAAGAAATACGAGCAATACCCAAATATCTATTTTTGGGTCTTTATTCAAAGTACAACTAAACGTCCGTAAAATAAACACATGTGGTTTTAAGGTCTAAAAGGGGCTGAATTTTACACAAACTAGAAACATTTCATGCAATTTCAAACGGATCAGTGTTGTCAAACTTACAGAGTTCACGAAAGACGCTATTAGTATTTTTAAATTCTTCTCAGTATACATGGTGTATATTGGGCGGATGCCATCAAGGGTCATATCTATACGGATGCCACGGACGACTACAATTCAATATATATATATATATATATATATATATATATATATATATATATATATATATATATATATATAGATTAATCAGTAACTGTTAATTATATTTACTTACTAAACGCAAGTCCTTCTTCGGAATTAATTCCAATTAAAACTGGAACTTTTTTATATTTCTTATCTATGAAAGCTTGGTAAGCAGGAACAGAAAATAAACCTTCTTTTTCCACAGTAACTGCACCAGTTATTCCTGCCTAAAAAATAAAATAAAATTCGTAAGAAAATTAATTCCATTTATCTTCGAGATACAGCATATTAAAATTAAAAACGAGTTTTTAACTGCCATAAAACATTTCAAAATTCTTTTCTTTCTGTACCTGTACAAAAATAGTACAAAAATAGTACAAAAATAGTACAAAAATAGTACAAAAATAGTACAAAAATAGTACAAAAATAGTACAAAAATAGTACAAAAATAGTACAAAAATAGTACAAAAATAGTACAAAAATAGTACAGTAATAGTACAAAAATAGTACAAAAACAGTACAAAAATAGTACAAAAATAGTACAAAAATAGCACAAAAATAGTACAAAAATAGTACATAAATAGTAAAAAAATAGTACAAAAATAGTACAAAAATAGTACTAAAATAGTACAAAAATAGTACAGTAATAGTACAAAAATAGTACAGTAATAGTACAGTAATAGTACAAAAATAGTATAAAAATAGTACAAAAATAGTACAAAAATAGTACAAAAATAGTACAAAAATAGTACAAAAATAGCACAAAAATAGTACAAAAATAGTACATAAATAGTACAAAAATAGTACAAAAATAGTACAAAAATAATACAAAAATAGTACAAAAATAAGTACAAAAATAGTACAAAATAATAAATCTTATTAAGTAAATCAGTTGGGGCAAGTGCACATTTGGGGTAAGTGCGACTCTGTCGATTTTCTTGATTTTCTTTGTTAAATAAAGTGAGTTGTTGCGCAAATACACATTTTCTAATAACACATGTGTAAACCCATCCACCAAAACCGATTTGGTAACACTGCATCGTTCTTTCTGTCATTTACTATTGCGAACTTCAATGCATGCGAGGATAACCTAAAAGTTGAGTTCGCAGGGAACCTTTTGAATTCAGGTAATTTTTTTTTAATTTGGTGTCATCGGCGTCGACCACTACGGCCATTGGCCTCGTGTTCTGTGTAGGATTTGTTACTTTTTCCCAGCGCCACTTTAGTAACATCACTAATAATTAGAACCCAACAGTGAATGGTCGAGTGGGGAATCCTACCTATGCATTAGAATTAATATTTAATTTTTTTTTTAAATAAATAAAGATTCCTGACACCGGTGGGATTCGATCCTTCCTTCATTCCGATCTCAAAGTCATGACTCTAACCACTGAGCCAACCCACCCCCCATTCAGGTAATTATCATTAAATTTGTTATTATTGCATGTTTTGGTGGTTCTATAATGAATATGGGTGTAAAATTATGATGTTTAAAATAAAAGCAGCAAGTACTTTAATTTAATATGTGAATAACCAGGGGGTCGCACTTGCCCAAGACAAAATAGAGGAAGAGGCAAATGCACACCCGTAGGGGTGCTCTTGCCCCAAATACTAAGACTTTGATTGCTTTTTTTTTTTCTAGCGAAAAAGATGGTGAGAACCTATAAACGAAAGACGACGGATAGAGGAGCAGCTTATTCAAAAGAAGAATTGAGCGCTGCCATTAAAGATGTTACAACGGGAAAAATTTTTCTTAAAAAAGCCAGTAATTTGTATAAAATCCCAAGAAGTACTTTAAGAGGCCATGTCAAAGGCAGGGTGTAAAAATCAAAACGTTGGGAAGAAGTGCCGATATTGGTTTCGAAGAGGAAAATAGTAGAGGGAATTAAAACAATGGAAAAATGGGGTTTTGGATTATCAAGATCAGAAGTACTAGAAAATGTATCACATTTTGTTAAGCAGAAAAAGCTTAAAACTCAATTCAAAGACGGATATCCAAGTGCAGATTGGTTTATAAACTTTCATAAAAGAGATAAACTCTCTATTTAGAAGCCACAAATGGTTGGCAGAAAGAAGAACTTAGATCCGTTCGTTATTTATGGATTTAGCAGATAAACCAAACCACATCTGAAATTTGCATGAAAGTTGCTTCTGCAGTAATCCAACCAAAATAAAAATAGTAGGCCAAATAGGATATTCGTGCACTCAAACAAGCGGCCCTGGTAGAGAAACTACCACCATTTTGTTAGCTTGCAGTGCAGCTGGCGACAAGGGTACAGCATAAGTAGTTTTCAAAGGTAAAGATGTGTATGATGAATGGACAGCTCCAGAATTTTCTAACGGGCCAAAACTAGTATATTCAGCAACGAAAAAAGGGTGGATGGAAAGAGAAATGTTTGAAAATTATTTAAAAAAAGTTTTGATAAAAGACTTTGGGGAAAGACGACCAATACTTTTAACTTACGACGGACATTTAACCCATCTTGGAATAAATTTAATACAGGAAGCACTAAAAGAATGTATTACGATTTTAAAACTTTCTTCCTATTACAGCCACATTTTACAGCCATTGAATTTGGCCGTTTTTAAATCATTAAAAGATAAATGGGATTCAAAGCTGGTCCATTGGCAAAGACAACGTCCTGGTAAAAAAATTATAAAAAAAAAACATTTTCTATACTAATTTAGGAAGTATGGAAGGATGTAAGTCCCATTATAATTCAGAATGATTTTAAAAAAGGTGGGATATATCCCTGTAATAAAAATGTTATTCAGCGTCACAGTTTTAATCCGTTAGCCCTTAGAAGATGGAAAGAGCATAAAGGGATTAGCACCCTTGTAACTGGTAGCAATACCATTACTGATCCTTCCACATCCGCAGAAAAGCTAGATATACCCCAGCCATCTAAGAGCAGCGCTCAGGAGGAGGCTTTATCCCAACCATCTACAAGCGTAGTTGAAGAGAAGGCTAAAGTTCCATTTGAGGAAATTCTACTGGCTACTTTGAAACCAAAGGCATCACCTCAAGAGCTAGAAAGGAAACCAAAAAAAGAAGAGTAGCTGAAGGAGCCGAAATTATAACGAGAAAAGACGTTCTGTAGCGTTTAAATGAAAAAACAGAAAGTGACACCAAAAAATTTAAGAAGAAAAAGACAAGAATCTGTCGTTTCCAGTGAAATCAATGATAATATTACTTATGATAAAAATGGTACATATGAAACATTTGAACAGTTTTAAGATAATGGAGAGCAATTACAGAGAGAAAAACATCATTCCGACGGACAAGTTTCAGAAAAAGCTGTGGGTGATTGGATTCTCGTAAAATTTGCTGGAAAGAAGTCCATTAAATACTATGTCGGTCAAGTCCTGGATGACAATAACAGTTAAATTAGCCAGAAAAAATCTGTGTTTAAATTTTCAGATGTAGATGACATTTCCGAGGTCGATGACCGTAACATTACAATGCTGCCGCCTTCTCCCGTGATTGAAAGAAGAGGCGAAATATCTTTTCAAGTTTCGTTAGATGGTTATGACGTACAATAAAATATTTTGCTTCTAATATTTTGCTCATTTATATTACAAATAAACGTAAAGAATTTTTACAGGGCCGTTTGATTTTCCTATTTGTGTTTATATCTCTGGAGCTAATAAAGATAACCACATTCTGCAAACTCGAAAAAAAAGGTAAAATTTTGGGTTAGGCGCAGAGTGTGATGTAGTTTATTTTCAGGTTAGTTTTAGCTCTAGGAAACGCATTTGCCTCCATTTAGTGGGACAAGTGCGCCTATGACATTAAAAAAAAACTCATCCGTTATAAAACGTAAATATATGAGGGTCTATACCAGATTTTGCTTGAATATATTACCCAGTTGCTATATAAAAATACACAACGCAAAAACTGATATAATTAAATACTAAACCCTTCAATTTAAGGAGTGCGCTTTCCCCAACTGACCCTAGCTATTTTTGCAATCAGTTACGATATGCCTTATTTTGTGTAACGAGTGAATATTTGCTGGACGAACAAAGCGAGGTCTCGCAACATGTACGATCCGGACAATATCCCACGTAGTGATAGAGAAAATACTGTAGATTTATTTTTAAGATTAGGTTTAGTAAATATTTGCACTTGAATCATTTTTTCCAAACACTTGTTATAAAATCTAAACGCATTCTTTTTTGCCATCATATTTATCTGCTGTATCCTGGAATTTTTACCAAAAAATAAAGTTTTGGGTCAATTATCTCAAAACTATGAAAATATCACGAACCGTTTTATTTTCAGGTCCCTCTTAACGTGTACTGTTTTTATATTAAAAATTTTATTTGTTAATATCAGGCATTGTGTAATTTGGAGCAATACCACATGAAACTTAAAAAAAAAAAACGTTTATTTATACTAATATCGTTCCAATTTTTTTCAGTATCATTACTAGCAATCATGTGTACTAAATATTAAACTACATGGAACTTGTAATCTAACCAATTTCCAATTTGAACAATAATTAGTGTATTGTGTATTATTTTCGGTCCATAAAATATATTGTTTCATTATCTAGGATTTGTTTTATTTGAATAACTATATCATATATCTTTCTATTCATGATAATTAGAAATCTCACTCATAATAATTGGGCTAAACTACAACATATTATTTTAACATTTTGAGGTCAAAAAACGTAATTTGTCAGCTCAATTTTTTTAGTAATTGCCATACATACGGTTTTTATATCATTGACATCAGCATTTTGTAGCACCGTTAGTAGTTCTGATGTACTATTTGATGAAAAACTTTTATCAACCAATTTTCCAAGGTTAAACGCTACGCTATTGGGATTACTTTGTTTTAGTCCACTACAAATAGATGACCCACTTTGCATTATCACTCCATGGAATAAGTCTAAAATCACAATTAAATGTTCAACAATAAGTATTTTTTATTAGAGTTACATACTTTCGTCGGGCTTTTGACTTGAAATATGATATGCCAATGACATTGAACCAGCACTTTCTCCAGCTATAACAACTTGATTTGGATTTCCTCCAAATAATTCAATATTTTTATTAACCCATTCTATTGCTAATCTTTGGTCTTTTAAACCAAGATTAAGAGGGATGGTACCGTCGTCAGTTCCCACAAAACCTAAAACATAAACAAATTAGTATCTTGCTTTTTGTTCCAAAGTTCAGAAAAAATGGAAAAGTATGCCAGGATTAGAAAGGAATGAAAGAAATAGTTTAAATAGTTTGCAGACATAAAATACTAGGCTAATGGGTAGATCAATACGACCAAAAAATGAGACAGAAATTTTCACATAAAAAATTAAAAATTAAAGTAGAGGTTAATTTTTTTATTACGTATAATCTAGAGAAGAAATTAGTGCAGTAATTTAATTTTCAGAACGTTGTAAAGATTTAAGAGGTAGACATTTTATTTAAACCTCATCTTCTATGCTTATTTGTAGTTGAAATAAAAATTTTAATAAATCTGATCGCCCTATTAAAAGTTTTGGTTTAGATTTATTCATGTTTCCTCTTGGTTGGCGAATGCATTATTGCAAGAACATGTACACGCAAACAACCAATTTCGGTTTGGATTTAATTCAGATCCGTGCGTAGTCATCTCTCGTATCTCTGACTTTATCGGTTATATCGACATACCAATGAAACGTAGAATGATATGAGCAGGTAAACTTATAACAACACAATAAAATGTAGATTTAAAGTTATTCAAATCAGTATTTTATTGTATAGTTCTTTGTTTTATTCAAAGACATTACAACTAATAGACCAAATTGTTTACATTTTTATGTGGCAAATCATTATTCCCACCAGATTCTCGTTTATTGCGTCTTTGCCGATTTTATCAGTCTGTAAAAATTATTTGGAGAAATTACTTTCGAAAAATAAATTTTGATGTGTCCTGTAACTATAATTTTATATTATATAAATAAAAATATGTTTTTAATCAAATTATTCTTTGAAGTTTTAATATAAGCTAAATTTTTTATTAAAAAATCAATATTGATTTAAACAAAATATTAGGGTTTCGAAGAACTCCGTAAATACGGCAACGCTGAATATCTTATTTTAGGAATTTACAATTTTTATGAATGAAATTTAGTACCATAACCAGCCGCAACGTTGCCAATCAGGTCTAACAGCTATTTTGTATTTATGACAGTATCTGACAGTTTCTGTGACTTATTGATTTATTCATTTATAAAATACTATTTTTGTGAACTTTTGTAAGAAATATAAAGAATTATGGTACATGCATGTGTAGTGTTCATTTAACTCGAAATGTATGGTTTCATCGGTAAGTATTTTTAGGTTAAGATATGTTGTTTTCATTTGAACCAGTGGAGTAGGGCTTGTACAAGATTTGATACAATTTCTTATAGAATTTAAATTATATAGGATCACATAGTAATTGTTTGAAAAATGATTATCCAATCTAATTTTTCAGACAATTCACTGCAGGTTTGATAATATACAATTTAAATTGTACAAGAAATTGTATCAAAAACTTGTGTAGTCTAAAACAGTCTTACAACAGTTTTTAAAGTGATATTTCTTTTATAAATTAGTACATTTTTTTTATACCAATAAATAATTATTGAATAGTGGCATAGAAAATTTAACAGTTTTTTTACTATATTTTTTGCCATACTATGTTTTTTTGTAATTATTAATTAAAAAATTATATATTTTTAGGACAGTGTTTTATTTAGATACTTAATGTTAATTTAAAATTTTAAAAAATTTTGGTTAACATCATACCAGGCAAATATATAGTAAATGCCAATAAACTATAAACCAATAAACATTAAAAATCGAAAGGTAACTTGAATTCGCTTGTATTTGAATTTACTTGTACTTGAATTTACCTACATGAAAAATCAGCAAGTATCATGCAAAACTATTGCCATATACTATGTTATCCAAGCAGCTCTAAAAGCAATTCTCTCACCAGAAATCAAATCACGACTGGTGAAAAACTGTCTAGAAGACCTGACAGAGCTAAGTAGTTAAAATAAGGTGACCTTAGCCTGGGTTCCAGGAAATGAGGGATATCAGGGCAATGAAAAGGCCGACAAATTAGCCCGAGGAGGCTCAGATAAGGCCATGACAGGCGCCGAACCCTTCTGTGGAGTGACTAATGCATTGTGCAAGGCATCCATTAAACAATGGATGCAAACAGAGTCTCAGGAATGGTGGAACAACTATCCAAGACTGAGACAGGCCAAACAGTTCATCAAGGAACCATCGGCCAAGTTCACGAAAGACCTACTGGATCAAAAACGTCAAATTGTTAGGATAACAGTAGGCCTTTTTACTGGACACTGTCGCCTCAAAAGGCACATGAGTGTTATAAATTCAGCAGAAGAAGCAACTTTGTGCAGGTTCTGTGAAGAAGAACAAGAAACAATATTCCACGTCCTGTGCCAATGTGAATGCCTGGCTGGAACGAGGAAAAGCCAATTGCATGCAACTACATGCGGGAGCCACTGTCAAAGCTACTAAGACTAATAAAAAAGACTAGGCTAGACGACATACTCTAAAACAAACAGGAGTCCCACAATAGATCTGAAAAGATCGCGGTGGACAAGGACAAATAACGTCCAACTCATAATCTAATATAATCTACCTAGATGAAAAAATCATCGTAACAAAAAGATATACCTACATATTTACGTATTTTTTAACATACTACTCTGACAATACTGGTAAGTTTAAAACTCTACGCCACTGGCGAGCATAATATGGACACTGTTTACAACGTTGCCAGCCGGTCCTAAGAGATATGTCTTTTTCTCTTCCACTCACTAACAATTTTAAAACAATAACAGTCCGCAATTGTATGGGATTTATGAATAAAACATTTTGTCTATATATTTATTGTTTCGGCCTTTACTTGATGAAAATCCATTTAATTTTGAAAGAGTAAAACCAAATTTGGTAGATTTTCACACTTTTATTTTAAAAATAAAAATTTAAAAAAAAAAACACTTACATGACATATGTTTCGAAGTACAACTTCTTTTTCAAATGTGACTATTTACAATTCGGTATCCAATATATATACGAAATAATTTAACAAAACAAAGTACTTAAGAAAACATCAATAACATTACAAAATAAACTAACTATTTAAAGTAAATAAGGGTACTTAGGTAATTATAATATCCATCAGATAACAATAAGATAGCCCATTACCGGGATTATCTCACAAAAAACTGGGAAAGAGATTTAATAAATTAACTTAACCACCACAAATTTCTCTGATCCAGAACAATCTCTAATAGAAAAAAGGGTTTAAACACAACATCGAACCTAAGATAAATACTTCGAACTTAGAAATTTTGGGAATAGAAACAGAAATTGCTTTAAAAGATTCATATAATACTTTGTCTCACAAATATCATACTGCAAATATAATTAAAACACAATTTTTACGTAATAACAATTCAAATCAAGACAGTAAGTTAATTAAAACTATAAAGGATAAAACAAAACAGGATGATATCATTTTCACTCGTGCCGATAAGGGAAATACAGTAATTGCTATTAATAATATAGATTATATTGACAAAACTCTTTCATTTTTACAAGCAAGCAATAATTATAGCATACTCAAATTTGATTCAACAGATAAATATCAAAAAGAACTAAAACGTAATATTCAGGATCCAACAGCAATTTTTGATTCTAGAGAAAAATTCAAACTAATACAAATGAACCCTCAACCACCACAACTTTATTCTTTAATAAAATTACACAAAGAGAACTATCCTATTAGACCAGTTGTGTCATTTGTCACGGCTCCATCAGTTAAATTTTCACACACATTAATTAAACTTATACAAGAAAACTGCAAATTCAATTCAAAGTATAGTATAAAAAATTCTTATGAATTAACAGAAAAATTAAAAAAACATTAAATTACCTAGTAACACAAAATTAGTATCGTTCGATGTAACAAACTTATTTCCTAGTATACCTCCTAAAGAAACAGTTAAGCTAGTAGAAAACTTATTAGATCGTAATCAAGTCAATATTATAATCAAAGAAGAAATCCTAAATTTGTTAAACATTTGCCTAAAACAAAATAATTTTCAATTTCAAAATAACATCTACTCAGCAAATGGAGGTCTTATTATGGGGAACCCATTAAGCCCGTTGCTTGCAGAAATATTTATGGATAATATAGAAAATAAAATTCATAGCAATAATTTAAGTAAACATTGTCTGTATTGGCATAGATATGTTGATGATATATTGACTGCTTTTACTGGTACTAGTAGACAGTTAAATTCTTTATTAGTTTTTATCAATACTATACACCCTAATATTAAATTTACTATGGAAACAGAGAAGGATAATTCAAATAATTTTTTAGACTTAAATATTATTAAAAATAATAAAGGCCATAGTTTTGGGATATTTCATAAGCCATCACATACGGATATTACAATAAATAATAGTTCATCTCATCCATACAAACAAAAGCTGGCAGCATACAACAGTATGATCCATAGATTAGTTAATATTCCCCTTACCAAAGAGAACTTCACAAAAGAATTAAATATCATTAAACAAATAGCAGTAAACAATAATTTTAATTCAAAGTTAGTAGACAACATTTTAGAGAAGAAACTTTTTAAACAGGCTATTCAACAAGTTTATCCCATAATTAAAGATCCAAATTGCAGATATAAGAGTCTTACATATATAGGAGCTCCTAGTGAAAAGGTATCATCATATTTAAAAAACCAAAATATTAACGTAGCTTTTAAAACCAATAATACGCTTGGGAAGTATATTAAAAACAATAAGGGTAAAATTAATCCTAATAATAAATCGGGGGTATATAAATTAAATTGTGGTAGTTGTCCAAAATTGTATATTGGTCAAACAGGCCGTACTTTCAAAAAACGATATTCCGACCATTATAATAGCTATACAAAAAACAAAAATAATTCTACTTACTCAAATCATATTTTAGCTGAAAATCATTCTTTAACAGACAACTTTGAAATTTTACATGTAGAAAATAAGAGCCTTAAATTAAACCATTTAGAAACACTTGAAATAAATAGATTTAAAAATTCAGATAACTTACTAAATGATCAATTAGATATTAATAATTCACCCTTATTAAATCTCTTTCCCAGTTTTCTGTGAGATAATCCCGGTAATGGGCTATCTTATTGTTATCTGATGGATATTATAATTACCTAAGTACCCTTATTTACTTTAAATAGTTAGTTTATTTTGTAATGTTATTGATGTTTTCTTAAGTACTTTGTTTTGTTAAATTATTTCGTATATATATTGGATACCGAATTGTAAATAGTCACATTTGAAAAAGAAGTTGTACTTCGAAACATATGTCATGTAAGTGTTTTTTTTTTAAATTTTTATTTTTAAAATAAAAGTGTGAAAATCTACCAAATTTGGTTTTACTCTTTCAAAATTTTGTCTATATGTTGTAATGTCTTTGGTTTTATTAATGTTGCAATTATCAAATAATCTTATTTTGTAAAACTGATATTACCAGTATACGATTGTTTTCATGTCGGAATAATATATTATGAGAATAAAATACAATGCAATCCAAAAGTGCATGTCCAGTTCTATTAGTAACAAGTATAATATTTGAACTAATTAAATTAATCTATATACCAGCCTCAGCTATTTAATAGGAAAACATATCTACGTGTTCCAGACAGTGACACTGGGAATATAAAATTAAGGTTGATGTATATGTTACGATTAAAGTGTTTACTTAGCTAGTTTATAGACTAGCTGGATAGTATACAAACTATCCAAATGGCTGGCTGTTTTGATGGAAAATTATATTTCTACTAAAATAGCTATGAATATTGGTTGGTTTGTATATTATCCAGCTAGTTTACAAACTATACAAGATTTATCGCTAAAGCGCAAACCACAAGAAAAGTACACAAATTAACCGTTGTTTTTGATAAGTTTACAAACTATCCAAAGTAGGGGAGACTGTTGTATAGTGGGACAACTCAAATTTCCTGCCACTAGTTTCGCTTAAAATTCCAAAACAATTTGTATCAACTGCATCCTATGTGCGCATTAAATATAACCTTGGAACTACCCGTTAGAGTCTTTAGTTTGGCGGCATTCTCGTTAGTGTTAGCATCAGAGTGACATGGTTTTTTACGACCACGTGCTGGGCGTACTTTGAGCGAGTAATATCCAATATTTTGTCCTGAATTTAAGAATAGTTATTCCCAAAGGTGTCTTGAAAGTGAGTTTTAAATTCAGAAAATGTTAAGAAGTAGATAAGGGTGTATTGTGGGACAATGTATAGTGGGACAGAATTTTCGGGTTGCATATTGGGACAAATATTTTATTTGTTCTATAATAATAACAGTTTCGTTTTATCAAGTTTACCTACTTTCATTACCTTCTTTCTTCTAGAAATGGATAAGAAAAGGGGCCGGAAAAATAAAAAAATCTTTTGCTGAGAGTCGAAAAATACATCTTGAGAATGCTGAAAAAATGAGAAGGGTGGTAGAGGCTGCTCTTAAAAATAAAATGAATATCAAGAATGCTGCGGTTTCATTTGGAGTTAGCAAATCAGCGTTACATAGACACTTGAAAAAGCACAAAATAAATGAAGCAAACACGCAGGAATTAAATTTTCGAAGGCAACATGGTTTCAAGCAGATTTTCAGTGACGATGAAGAGCAACTGCTTAGCGAATATTTAGTTACTTCTTCTCTAATGTGCTACGGGTCAACAAGCAAAGAAGCTAGTAAATTAGCTTACGGTTATGCCGTCGCAAATAAAAAAATAATGCCAAACACATTGACAGAAAATGAAATCGCCGGAGAAGAATGGTTTAAACTTTTTAGAATTCGACATAACCTAAGCCTAAGAACGCTCGAGGCCACAAGTCTGAGCCTCGCGACTAGTTTCAATCGCCACAACGTTAATCTCTTTTTCAAAAACTTGCGTAGAGTTTTGTAAAAATACAATTTCAAACCCAACCAAATGATGTGACGAAACTGGTGTAAATACTGTACACAAGCCTCCTAAAATAGCAGCACCATGTGTCCAAAAACAGGTTGGTAAAACTGCCAGTTGCGAAAGAAGTGTACTAGTTACAATGTGTTCCACTATTTGCGCCAATGGGACATTTGTGCCGCCCTTCTTTGTGTTTCCGCGCACACATTTTAAGCCGCAAATGCTGATTGGAGCTTCCCCTGGATCAAATGCAAATACTAGTGGATGGATGTGTTTGTAGAAATAATACTTTCAACATCTTACAGACACCATACATTGTAATAATGACAATAACATCTTACTTATTTTTGATAACCACGAGATCCATACAAATGTAAGGATGCTTGAATATTTCAAAATACCACCTCAATGCAGCCATCGCTTGCAATCATTGGACGTTAGTTGTTTTGGCCCCTTTAAAAATTACTATAACAAAGCAATGGATGACTGGATGCTACATAATTCTGGTATTCCCGTGACAATCTATAACATCGCCGATATAGTTGGAAAATCTTTTCCACTAGCTTTCACACCTCAGATTAGTATTAAAGGATTTGAAAAAACTAGCATTTGTCCTTTAAATGTTGAAATATTTCAAGACTGCGACTTTTCAAGCTCCTACGTGTCAGATCGAATTGAAACTGAGAAACCAGTTAAATTAACTAATACAACTGGAGAAAACTCAGTTGAAAATCTTATTCCAAGTTGCTTTGGAACATTTAGCAGTGAAATAAAATCACTCAAAGAAAATAGGTACTGTTACCCAGGAAGCTGTAAGACCATATGCAAAGGCTGCACCTCAAAAGAAAAATACTAATATGAGAAAAAAAAAATACTTCTACTGAATTGACTGATACTCCTGTAATTGAAGAGAAAAAAGAAAAAGAAAGGTTAAAATTAAAAAAAAAATATCTTACAAGCGACAAAGAATGAAGAAGGCAAAAGAAGCCAAAAGAAATTTATTCGCGCCAAAAATGACAGCTCAAGTGAGAGTGACATTGAAGAGAATGAAATTTGTAATGATAATTTAGATGCGGATGTCTCCGATGAATTTTCTAAAGAAATCCTTAACACGTCTGATTTCATACTTGTTCAGTATCCTATGAGAAAAAGCATCAAACACTTCGTTGGTCAAATAGAAAAAATAAAAAAAGATTAATACACAGTTAATTTCATGAAAAAAATCCAAATAATAGGTTAAGCTTTCGTGAAAAACGGGATGAAGATGTGTCAGAAGAAAATATCATTTAAAAACTTCCAGTACCTTTTACTTCTGTTTTTGATGCCCTAGAAATTATTAGTTCAAGTTATGTTTTATATTTTAAGTTTCGGTTCAAGATATGTTTTCCTATTTTTTTTATTGGGATACCTACTAACATATTATTTTGTCAATAAACGATCAAACTTTCCTTTTGTATTAATTTATAAGGCTTCAAAAAACATTGTCCCACTATACACATACATCTTTCCCAGTATGCAACATAGGGTGGTTGCATACTGGGAAAGTGGTGTATAGTGGGACATCAATTTTTTTTGTTAAAGTGTAAAAGTTGTTAAAATTTATATATTTGTTGCTAAACAAACTATTTTTGAATATACTAGAATGTTCACATTAGTTAAAAATTATTAAACAAACTTTGTATGTTAGTTAGAAAAATATTGTCCCAATATACAGCAATCTCCCCTATTTGGATAAATTATGGACCTAATATTCGTAGTAACACGTAATAACCAACTCGTCGATTAGTATGTAAACTGACCAATTTTCTTTGGATAATTTAGTTTAGGATAGTCAAATTTATAGGTACAACATATCATTACTATTACGATTAAAAAATAAGTAAAATATGTAAAAGTGACATTAAAATACTGATTTTACTATATCACTATAATTACTTCAAAAAGTAGGTTTTCAAATTGTTGCTGTTGATTTATTTTTAATAGGTACCTGCTCTTAAACAAACTTTGCAAAGCACCCCAGTAAACAGCACATAACACTTACCATAAACATAACCTTACATTTCTAATAAATTAACCAAAGAGGATTGGTCAGTTTGCATACTAACAGACAATTTGGATATTCTGTACTACTATGAATATTAAGTTAACACCTTATCCAAATACTGTGGATAGTTTGTAAACTTGCCAAAAAGTCCAATTAATTTGTGTACTTTTCTTGTGGTTTGTACTTTGGCTATAAATCTTCTATAGTTTGCAGACTAGCTGGATATAACACAAACCAACCAATTTTCATAGCCATTTTAGTAGAAATAATATCTTATAACAGAATAGCTAGATATTTGGATAGTTCGTATACTATCTAGCTAGTCTATAAACTAGCCAAGTAAACACTTTAACCGTAATATATACAACGGGAACACATTGTGTCGACTACGTAACAAGATACTAGACGTTATTATTATCGTGAGAACGCCTGAGCCAACTCTGTTCTTTGTCTCTATATGGCCAGCGGTAAACTTCATACTGCGGGCAAGTTAGTAAACAAAGAATATTATTGGCTTAGGCGTTCTCACGACATTGAATTATAAATGAATCTCCTATTACAGAAAGGAAAACTCATTTATAATAAAATTACTCACCAAATGGACCTACACGATAATTAATAGTAACAACTACAATTCCGTGATCTATAACATATTTTGGTCCAACTTCTTCGTACCTTCCAGATCCAAATACAAAAGCTCCACCATGTATCCAAAGTAAAACAGGAAGTAGATTCTTGTTACTACCAGGTTTCTAAAATATTAATTGTTTTTTATTAATTTTTATTAATTTTTATTAATTTTTATTAATTTTTATTAATTTTTATTAATTTTTATTAATTTTTATTAATTTTTATTAATTTTTATTAATTTTTATTAATTTTTATTAATTATTATTAATTTTTATTAATTTTTATTAGTTTTTATTAATTTTTATTAATTTTTATTAATTTTTATTAATTTTTATTAATTTTTATTAATTTTTATTAATTTTTATTAATTTTTATTAATTTTTATTAATTTTTATTAATTTTTATTAATTTTTATTAATTTTTATTAATTTTTATTAATTTTTATTAATTTTTATTAATTTTTATTAATTTTTATTAATTTTTATTAATTTTTATTAATTTTTATTAATTTTTATTAATTTTTATTAATTTTTATTAATTTTTATTAATTTTTATTAATTTTTATTAATTTTTATTAATTTTTATTAATTTTTATTAATTTTTATTAATTTTTATTAATTTTTATTAATTTTTATTAATTTTTATTAATTTTTATTAATTTTTATTAATTTTTATTAATTTTTATTAATTTTTATTAATTTTTATTAATTTTTATTAATTTTTATTAATTTTTATTAATTTTTATTAATTTTTATTAATTTTTATTAATTTTTATTAATTTTTATTAATTTTTATTAATTTTTATTAATTTTTATTAATTTTTATTAATTTTTATTAATTTTTATTAATTTTTATTAATTTTTATTAATTTTTATTAATTTTTATTAATTTTTATTAATTTTTATTAATTTTTATTAATTTTTATTAATTTTTATTAATTTTTATTAATTTTTATTAATTTTTATTAATTTTTATTAATTTTTATTAATTTTTATTAATTTTTATTAATTTTTATTAATTTTTATTAATTTTTATTAATTTTTAATAATTTTTATTAATTTTTATTAATTTTTATTAATTTTTATTAATTTTTATTAATTTTTATTAATTTTTATTAATTTTTATTAATTTTTATTAATTTTTATTAATTTTTATTAATTTTTATTAATTTTTATTAATTTTTATTAATTTTTATTAATTTTTATTAATTTTTATTAATTTTTAATTTTTATTAATTTTTATTAATTTGTTTTTATTAATTTTTATTTAGTTTTTATTAATTTTTATTTAGTTTTTATTAATTTTTATTAATTTTTATTAATTTTTATTAATTTTTATTAATTTTTATTAATTTTTATTAATTTTTATTAATTTTTATTAATTTTTATTAATTTTTATTAATTTTTATTAATTTTTATTAATTTTTATTAATTTTTATTAATTTTTATTAATTTTTATTAATTTTGATTAATTTTTATTAACTTTTGTTAATTTTTAATAATTTTGTTTTAATTATAGTTTATTTTTATGTTACTACCATACAAAAATCCAACCACAGAGCACGACAATATTTATTTAGGCTACAATTATAATTTTCAAGTTCAAACGTTCAAAAAATTTATACTTCTATACACATTTTTACCCCCGTTTTCCCCCCCTTAAAATGTGAAAATTCAAAAACCATGAAACACATAATTTTTGATTTTTAATCAGTAGCTGTAATTCAAATTTTTATGTTTCAAACTATAAATAACAAAAAAATATATACATACTATTAAACAAATTCTCACCCCTTATTTCCCCCCTTAAAATGTTAAAATGCAAAAATGCTGAAACACTTCAGTATTTATTTATGATGAGAACCTACAATTTTAATTTTCAAGTTCCTACCTTTAAAAAAATCGATATCTCCAAATAAACTTTCACCCCTATTTCCCCCCCTTAAAATGTGAAAATCAAAAAAACCTTAAACACGTCATTATTAATTTGTACTCATTAGCTGCAATTCCAATTTTCATGTTTCTAACTTTAAAGGGGACCAAAAACATAAATACTCCCAAATAAATTTTCACACCCCATTTCCCCCCCTTAAAATGTGAAAATCTAAAAACCCTAAAATACGTCATTAATAATTTGTAGTGAGTAGCTGGAATTCCAATTTTCATGTTTCTAACTTCAAAGAGAACAAAAAAAAATCAATAGTCCCATACAAACTTTCATCCCCCGTTTTCCCCCCTTAAAATGTGAAAATTGAAAAACCCTGAAACATGTCATTGTTTATTTATGCTTAGTAGCTGTAATTTAAATTTTCATGTTTCTAACTTTAAAGAACAAAGAGTTTCATTAAAAGCTCCCTCCCCCCATTTCCTCCAATTTCCCCCCTTTAAAGTTTAAATTTTGAAAAATCCTTTCTTAGCGGATGCTTACGTTATAAAATAAACCTGTTTCAAATTTCAGCTTTCTAGGCTCGGTAGTTTTGGCTGTAGGTTGATAGGTCAGTCATATAGATAGATTAAAAAGTTTTTGTTATTGATAAAATACACATAATAACGTTCTTTTGCCTTTGGTACAGTACATAAGTTTTTCGAAGATGAATATGTATTACAAATTAGTTTTAAACACGGGGATTCACAATCGACACTGATCAAACGCACTGTACGATAGCCGAACGAATATTAATGAATTAAATAATATAATGTAAAATAAAATAGCACCTAATAGTCCCTTAAGTTAATGATATTATATTTGGGTAGTACTGCTACTGGATACAATAATTTATTTATTTCTATATACAGAATGTTTCATGTTCAATGAAAAATTATGCAATCAACTCATTTGTTTGTAGTTTAAAGTAGATAGGCGACAAATTAAACAAAATCTGTTTGCTAATATTTAAATTAGATATTTGCGAAGAATATTAAAAATTGATATACTAAATACTTACAACAGGTGTATACACATTTAAATACAAACAATCTTCATCTTGCCTCTGTTCTAGATTAACATTTCCAATATTTGGTTGTATACAAACTTTAGTATTTCTTGTTGTGTTTAAGATGCCTTCCCATGGTTTAGGTTCTTGAGGTAGCTAAAATCGATAAAAATAGTGAAAACGAATATTTTTGGTTCACAATATAAATGATGATATTAGAATATCTGAAATAGTTCTTCTGGTGACAAAAGCTATTGGATAGGAGAAGGAAAGAACAAGCTTTGGTCAGGTTAATCGTGTATTAAAATAATAACAAGAAAAATGGATGTTGAGAATAAAAAGCTGTATAAAAATACGTAAGATACTTCTTAATAAAGAAAACCATTTTCATTTTTTTAAAAAATTAAATTTTTGTAGACAACACGTATGCTGAAATAGATACAATAAAAACAAATGGGTCGTCCGGCATTATTTAAAGACTTGCTAATACCACTGTGAAGAAAAAAAGAAAAAACTATAAAATTAGACACAAAATTATCAATTTGGCAAGATACTAAAGAAGTCCTTATGCTAAGTAATTGCCATAATGATCAATTTGTGACTGTGAAAAAAACAATGAAAGATGTGGCTTATTCTTAGAATGATAGCTTTTTATAGAGACATTATGGGGGCGTCGACTTAGCAGACCAGATGGCGGGTCTTTACGATTTGTATAGGAAATCAAAGAAATGGTGGAAAAAATTGTTCTACCTACCGTTTGTTCATGATGGCAGTTGTAAATTCGTGGATCATCTATAACGGATTACATAAAAAGAAGCATCCGCTATTGCAATTTTAGTGCCTTTGCCAGAAGAGATGATAAGCGAGGGAAAAAGAACAGCGGCAATACAACGGTTTACAAAAAAAGGCAGAGTTTCAAGAAAACGAAAAAGCTTTGCAACCGTGTCTCTTCATCTACCCTTCGAAGGTCTAACCAGAAGATGGTGTAGAAGACGTGCCGAGAGAAAGATACAGACACGTACAGAACATATTGTCAAGAATGCGATACTTCTCTTTGTAAAAATTGTTTTGCGCTTTACCACATTTAATAATACGTGAAATAAACACGTCATGGGGGTGGGTGGCTTAGAGGTAGAGTCTCTGCCTATGGATCTAAGGGTCCCAGGTTCGAATCCCACAGTTGGCCGGGATTTTTTCGTTTAATTTAAATATTTAAAATTAATTCTGATGCCTTGGTAGGATTCCCCACTCGACCATTCACTGTTGGGTTCTAATTAACAGTGCTGTTCCTAAAGTTGCGATAGAAAACAGTAACAAAGCCTACACAGAACACGAGGCGAAATAACCTTAGCAGTTGAAGCCGATGACACACCAAAAAAAATATGAGAATACCGACCGGGTACTAGTATATATGATGGTGGGTGAGGTTTTCCTCACCTGTAAGTCAAATGGCACCATCAATTATCTTTAAGTCGCCCCGGAGCGTCACGGCAAATAATAATAATAGCCGTCCCTTTCCCCGCACAAGCTTTTGGGGTTAAAATTCACTCGTAAGGTGGTGAATTAGGAAGAGTATTATTATATACGTACCTCATACAAGGACTAGTGGTAGATACATGTTTTTCATCACCCCCACCCCTTCAAGAGAAAAAAAAACCATTTTTTTTTTCAAATAACTTATTCTTAGTTTACAAATATGAAATATGTTAAATGATAAGGGCTATAATAACTACACAGTTTCTAGATTTATGGTTTTTATCATCACGAAGTAAAACAATTAGCAATCGTTATCAATAACATCATCCACTGTTAGACGAATTAAATTTTTTGTGCTCCAATTAAATTTTAATATATTGTGCAATTTTTGCCTGGAACAATTTGTTCATTTGTTCATAATCTGGAATTGATTTTTTTTTGTAAATATTGAATTTCCTTGGATACGTTTCAATGTTTAGTATAAGATAAATCGATTTAATGCTTCGTACATTAAGTATGAAGAAAGAAATTACAAAAATTAATCAAACATTCCATATACGTCAATCGCGAAGGAGGTTAGATATATTAAATAAAGGTTGATTGGAATTGCCTAACTAATATTCTATATATTAACGTATGGACATTTCTCAATAAAAATATAACAAATAAAATCAAAATTCTTAAAAAAATTAGTTTTAGCTTGCTCATTTATGCATTCAATATGGAATATACTAACCTGAAATCTTTTGGATCCTACAGGAGGGGCAGCATAGGGAATCTCTTGAAAGGCGTAATAATCGTTTCCATTCTCACTTTTTCGAATAATCCCCTGGATTTTACCCTTTTCCAATTGAACTATTGTACCGTCAGGTTCGGCTAAAATTATTCTCACCAAATAAAATAGGATAGTATACACGACCGTTTTGGATATCATTTTGTTCAAGTATAAAATAATTCGATAAAAATATTATTATTTATATCATATATTTCAAGTGTTTTTTTTTATATAAAGGTTATTTGATTGCGAAATGTATAGATTAACATTTTTGTTATAATAAAATGATTTCTATTATAAATTATACTTTTGCCCGTTAATTAAACACCATAATGTAACTACTAATAATTTCATGTATGTACTTTTTTTATATGCCGATGACCCTAACAATAACGTTGTCTAAGGTCAATAATTATCACTGTTATTGGAATAATATCATTATTTCTCAGGTATGATTTAAATAGCTTGTAGGGTTTAGATATTTTGTTAACTTTTTAATCTATCAACCTCAATTATAAATATTTTTATTTTTAAATAGTTGATACTTATAATTATTATTACTTTCCTATCTGTATACAGATAAATAAAGTATAGGAATTCTGATTTTTTTTCGACCTTGAGTTATTGACCTCGAGTTTTCGACGGATTTTTACGTTTTGGGATCCCCTGAATCCGTTTTGACTATTTTTGCGATGATTTCTGTGGGTATGATTTCTGTGTCTATATCATCGATAACTCATGAAGGGATATAAAGAAAAACACTGAATTTTAGACTTAAGCTTAATTGTGGCCTCCAGTGAATTAGTTAGATTTTGGGAAATCTTGCCATCATTTCTATAGAATCTGACTTTTTAAAGCAGCTGGAGAGTTAATACATTTTTCAATATCAAAACTAGAAAAGTCTAATTTTTGTGATATATTTATCTGTTTTTATCTTCGTTATATAAGGACAAGTGCAATTTGAACATTGTTTATTTTAATAATTTGGAATTTTTTTATTTTATAACGTTGTTATTTGTTTTTATTCTCACCTAATGACATTAGAATCATAGAACTCGGTTTGAAACACAATGCTCATTCCTCCAGTCACACAAATAACCTACATACCATCAGTATTGACACCGAAAGTATACTTGCCAATACTAACATACCGAATAAAGAACCGATTAGAGCAGAATTGAAGTCAGCTATCATTAAACAACATGCCATCCATAACAACCGACGTTCTTCTCCCAGTCATAATCCTAACCACTTTCCTAATTCCCAAGATATTAAGAGTTTAAAACAGACTCTCACTTCTACCGATGTAATTGTCACCAAAGCTAATAAAGGTAATTGTACAGTTATTATGAAGAAAATCCAATACATCGATAAAGTTTTTGAATTTATCAACTCATACCCTTTATTCATTGAGCTAACTCAGATCTAACTGTTAAATTCCATACCTCTCTCAAAGTTAACATTAAAATGTTATGGACCAATTACATAAAACAGTTTGAAATAGTTATGAAAGTGAACGAATCTTCAGACCAAAGAGATGATTTATATGTTCTTCAGATATAGAGACGAATGACTGAATAATTGAAAAAAAGATTAAACATGCGATATGGTAATATGCGAATATTTGGAGATACTCTATCAATCACAGTTTTAGAATCGCAAAGAGAAACAAAGCAAGACATTTCAAGTATAAAAAGTAGATATTGCCAGGTTGGTATTATCTTCCTTCCTATTAGCTCCAGAAAATACGATGAAATGTGTATGGTTCCAAACATTTCTTGATGGACACTGTAACAGTATAACATAAAAACACTCTGTTTAGCCCATCACAAAATATTGGTCGATATCTTGTCCCTTGCTCTTGTATATGAAGCATCTGAGCAGGCATCTAATGGTTACAGTAAAGTTGTAACGTTTGGATTTGACCTTATAGCGGTTATTCAATAAAATAGGGATGCGCTTGTTTTGTCCAGCAGTTTCCGTAATCAGTACTTCTAAACGGGTAAACCTGTATACACACATTTAAACCACTGTGATTACCTAGTTTGGTGGATCGACAGGCGACGGCTGATTTTTATCAACTGATTGTCGAAGGTGTTTCTTCGCGAGTCTTTTTCCATAGATGCAGGGGTTTTTCTGCGACACTCTGGGCGAGTAGGTGGCTGCCCTGTATTCAAGATGTCTGTCTAGCGTTTCTGCCACGACGGTAACTGTGAGTATATGTTCAGTTTGGGGTAGGTAGGACCTCTATTTGAATTTACCTAGGCTATTTATTTCGTTTTAGACACATACTTTGATTTTCTTTTACTATACGGAGAATGGTCGCACTGCGCGCCTGAGTGCCTTTTAAAAGGAGATAGAAAACTCCGCCATTTTGAACCGTTATTACGTGTTGCCTACATCTTGGCGCAATATTTTTAATATGTGCGTTTTAATCATCCGCTTCTGCTTCGGAATTGCTTAGATTAAATATTTTTGTCGTTTCCGAAATACAAGGTGTTAAAGTTGAAAATATTAAAATTAATAAATGCTACTATTTTTTTTTAATATTCAATATAATTTTACTTAATTCAACAAATATTTTTGATGTCATAAGATACACCTATCAGCGAAAAATAATCAGTACAATAAGCTTGGCCAGTGACGTACAGCATTGATAAACTCCTTCATCTCCTCTAAATTTTACGCTACTGTCCAAAAACTTATTTTGACTATAATTTTATTTAATTTTTATTTTTTTTAGATAAATTGTGTTCACTTGTTGAAAATTAAAGTGGTTGATTTTCGAGATATTTATACTTAAATGTGGATATTGTTAATTTTAATTTATTTTCTAAATTTGTTATTTGGGATTTTTGTATAAATTCTCAATAAGAGTACAAGATTTATCTAAAAAATAAAAAATATAAAATTATTAGCCAAATAAGTTTTTGAAAATATTCGTAAATTTAGAATGGATGAAAGTATAACTTACTCATGCCGTACGCCACTGACAAAGTTTATTTAACTGACACCAAAAATGTTTGCCAAATTTAATAAAATTATACTAAATATTTAAAAAATTAGAACCAATAATAAGTTACGAATTTTCAAACTCTAAGCTCTGTTTTCCGAAAACAATTTACTCAAGCATGTTTCATTTAATCGTCTTATTTTTAATCTGAGAAACTAATTAATTTTTCTGTATCCCATTCTATATATTATTAATTTAAAAATTTACATTAATTTAAAAATTATACTATTATTTACAATCAAAACAATAAATAGTGTACGTTTGAATATTTTTCTTCATTCTCCCATATATGTGTGCCTTATGTGCATTACTCGTTCTAACATTTAAATATTCTTATTGAAAAATGTTGATATAAAGTTATCATATATCTTATAACTACCTACAAATATATTTCAAGTAGGTATCTACTTTGTAAAAAAATTAAAAGAATTTTATCAAATACTGTTGCACTTATAAATCAAAACTGTAACGATTAAAAGCTAAAAAATTAATTATCTGCAATTAATAATACTAATTAATACATTTAAAATTATAACTAAGTAATTATTTTTTTCTTGTTAAAATAAATATTAACATAGATACGAAAATATATATATGAAAATAAAAATATAATCGTAGGTATTGTTTTCGAGTATATCTATTTTAATTATCGATTCCCTTATATTCATCTATTTAAACAAACAATCAAATAATTAATTATTGATCAATCATTCAAACTACAGATCAGATTAGGTAACGTAAGTTATAGATACTAGAGAGTTGAAGTGTTTACAGTACGTTTACGTAAATGTGAACGTCAACGCTCAAAAATAATGTTTACGTTGAAGTCCAATAAATTAGTGGAAGTTGTTTAACGCATCGTGACATTTACGTGCCATGACAGATAATGACAATTAGTATTAGGATTTCTTTTTTCTTAATTAAAAAGAGGTTAGTTTATTTATATTATGTGCAAAACTCTAAGTCAAACACCATAAAGATAATAAATATGGTTATGTGTACTGGAGAAGATAAACAGTTAACAAAATTTTCGAAACTGGAAATAGTCAATCCACCCAAATATGTGAACCAAGATGACCAGCTATGTAAACAGTTTTATCAACACACTACCAAAAGAAAAAAGATGGAACCTACACAGTAAGAATTCCCTTTTCAAATTTGGAACTTAAATTAGGCAACTCCAAGACGAGAGATGTAGCGAGATTGATTCAATTAGAACAGAAACTCTCTAAAAACGAAAAGCTAGATACTTATATTACAGTTGCCTCGAGAATACGCAAACATGGGACATATGACTCAAGTAACCTCCGATAACCTAAACATAGGAAAGTACTAAATTTCCCACCAAGCAAATATCAAGGAGTCAAGTACAACCACTAGTAGTATTTGAAGCATCATCCAAAACTGACTTAAATACTAGCTTAAATGAACTGTCAGAAATTTTACTACAATGGGATATGGTGCAGATTTTCAAGCCTAGCACGAATGATACGAGTCGTATCATATTAAAGAAGATTTTTGAAAGACGGCACCTACAAGAGTCCTTTAAAGTATGAAGAGATACACAGCACATCTATGAAAATCATAAAAATAGTAAAATCTAAAAAAGAGGCACTTCAAACAAAAATTAAAGAAACAACCTGGATAAACCGACATCAGCGTACGTATCCGTCTAATGAGGCAACTGCAGTGATCATAGAAATCGTAGTTTGTGGATTTGATTTAGACATCGAAAGAAACTAAAGAATTTAACGTCAGTCGAATCAGCCTGAAACAATCGAGCCACTGGGATGAATGTTTTTCGGCAAAATGGAAAAGGTAAATTAACAAACAAATGAATCAAAAAGAGAAAACATTAAATATTTAATTTTAAATAACAAGAGGATTAATCGGAAAAACTCGCTTCTCGCCTAGGGACCTATCAAGGCATTAACAAAAACAGACATACACTAGGTCACGGTAAGGGGGTAAAAAAAAAACAATAGGAATGAAAACAAAAGTAACGAGTATTAGAAAAGTACTTATCACAAGCGTATACTTGATTCCATTAAAAAATTAATCAAGCAGTCATAAATGTTTATGAAAATGAAGGACAATAAACTTTGGATATTCAAAGGGGAGCATATTTTGCATTTAAGCTTGTCAGAAAATTTTTAGTTTTTAGTACAATTAAAGAAGATATGGTCTAGATCTTCTTTTTTATTACACGTCTCGCATTGGTCATATTCTGAGACTTTAATTTCGTATAAATGGCTAGGATA